GAGTGTAGTGATAGACAAGACAAAGTGTCATTCCTTTCATAGAATGTGGACGGACTTGAAAATTAAAAACGTGATGATGATTTTCTATCCTTTGTTACTAGTTTTGACGTTATAGCTTTGTTTGAAACATGGACTACAGAAAAAGACTTCAATGCTATATTTTCTGATTTCCAGTTATATAGTGTGCCTGCAATCAGACTTTCACAATATGGGCGTTTATCAGTTGGAATTATCGTTTTAGTAAGAAACTCTCTCATTGATTTTGTCAGTAATATTGTATACTACATACGAGAAATGCTACATTTGGCTGATAATATATATGTACATCCTGAACGTTCCAGCTGGTATGAAAATAAGGAAAACAAGAATGGTATTGAATTACTTCAAAATGATATTTTTGAACCGTTTCGGCAATATCCAAATATTCCTATTGTTTTGATGGGAGACCTTAATGCAAGAACAGGCGAAAAAGTAGATTATTTAGAAGATGACATTTTCCCATTCCTTGATAATAATGGGTGTTACTCAGATTATTTTCCAAGGTTCTGCCAACCAAGATATTCCTGCGATAAAGTAGTCAACATGTATGGAACATGCCTACTTGAGTTGCGCTTAGTATTAGACATTCACATAGTGAATGGTAGACTAGGTGCGGATAATCAAACAGGAGAGTATTCTTATGTCAGCCCTAATGGTTGTAGTACCATAGATTATGTTGTATGCTCATCTGACCTTTTTATCATATATGTGATTTTGAGGTTGTGCCTCGATGTGACTCACTACATCTACCTGTAACTATGGCAACGCCTGTGGTAAAATGCTCCGCGGAAACGCAATCAACAGACCGTCGTGTTCGGATAACAAGAAGGAACAGTTCATACATAATATGGAATGGCCCAAAATTGCAACGAATCTGGAAAAAACGAGTTTAGAAGCTCCTTCAGACATAGACAAGAGTGTATCAACATTTACGGAGGCAATTCTTTCAGCAGCATGTATGTTCAAAACAACTTGGAATAATAACAACAATCATCAACATATTTGTAAAACAAGAAACCCGTGGCATGATGATGACTGTCTGTTAATGAAACACGAACGCTGTCGTGCACTTAACAAATATATAAAAACTAAAGACAATGAAGATTTGCTGAATTATCACCAAATTAGGAATGACTATTAGAGTATTTGTTGAAACAAACAAGGTGATTACACGAACAGTAAACGTACCACACTGGAACAAACTTCTGATTCAAAGATATTCTAGAAGAATATCAAGGACTTGCAGAATACTAAAAGTAACTATAATCCCATAGATTCAAAAGAATGGATCGAATACTTTGAAACTTTATTTAATCAATCTACAATTGAAGAAGATAGTGATTACTTAAACGACGAAGGCGAACCACTAATAATAGAAAGCTAGGAAATCTCCCGCGACATCTTGGATGGACCAATCACTAAAGATGAAATTATTGACAGTATAAATTCTCTCAAAAACTCAAAATCACCTGGTATGGACAATATTCTCCCAGATTTGCATTACCTAACATTGTCCCTCATGTTGAGATCATGTTCAATTGTATCTTTGATAGTGGTGTTTTTCCAAAAGATTGGGATACAGGTGGTATTATCCCGTTTCACAAAAAAGGCTCAAGATAAATCAAAGATAACTTTTGAGCTTTTAGTTTATTGAGTACTTCGTCTAAAGTGTTCACAAGTATATTAAATAATAGATTGGTTTTTTTGGCCGATATGCATGACAAAATATCAGAATGTCAATCTGGCTTGAGACGAGGACACTCAACAATTGACAATCTATTTATTTTAAATGATATTAATAAAAAATATTTAGGTATGTCTGGTCGTAAGTTATATTTAGCCTGTATAGACTTTTCAAAGGCGTTTGACTCAGTCCGTCGTTCTTATTTGTGGAAAGTATGGGGAAAGCACGAAGATGTCCAAAATGTTAAAGTCAATTGATGGTAATGTTACGTCATGTGTCCGAAGTAATAACCTGTTGTCAAACCAATTTCAATGTAATTTAGGTGTTAGACAAGGTTGCGTTTTAAGCCCCTTCTTATTTCATATATTCAGAAATGAAATTGTACACACAATGCAACAGGAGCACCTATACGGAGTACAGTTACATCCTGATATTATAGTTTAATTATTGCTCTTTGCAGATGATTTGATATTAATTTCTGACACTTATGGGGGGCTACAGAAGGAATGATCTATCTTAGATAAATATTGTGTGGACTGGAGTATGTCAGTTAACATTGAAAAAACTAAAATTGTAGTTTTTCAGAAAGCTGGGCGGCTGAAAAAAGTGAAAAATAGTATCTGAATGGACAACTTGTGGAAGTTGGACAAGGGTATAAATATTTAGCAGCAGGCTTTCATGGACACAAGTTTGAGCAACATAGCAGTTCAAGCTAAAATGGTACTAATCAACCTATTAAAAAGCATTAATTGTTTACAACCTTATTCTCCAAAATTTCACCTATATTACTGTATGGGTCAGACATATGGGCATTCCATAAACTGAAAGAAGTTGAGAAAGTTCATTTATATGCGTGTAAATGGTTATTGAATGTTAAACAATGTACATCAAGTAGCGCTGTATTGGGTGAATGTGGCAGATTCCCTTTACATATCAATGCAATGATGAGAGCTTTTAAATATTGGCAACGTTTAATGTGTATGCCGGGTAACTGCGTACCTAAAAAGTGTTATGAAATGATGTATTTAAACAATAGTCAAGGAAAGAAGAATTGGGTTACTAATATTAGAACAACGTTATTTTCTCTCGGATTCGGCCATGTTTGGTTATCACAATCACCCGGTAATCTACAGGTATTAACTTCGATGTCATTTCAACGTTTGACCTGTTTCTGTTTCTGTTGATAATCGAGACTGGTTTATCTCTGACGTTGATGTTTTCTATTTACAGCAACGAGAATATGACCCTACTGCAGTGATCAGGTGTCGCGACGTCTTTCGTCGTAACTCCTTGTGCTTAATACGTTAGCTGGTCACGCCAAAGACCCCGTTCGATTCCTCACATGGCTACAAGTTCAGTTCGCGTCACCCGCTGTGTCGTGATTGAGAAAAAATCGGCAAAAAAGGCAGCATTAAACCCGACTCACTCACTCACCCTATTGATGAAATAAGAATCTGAATGCACAAACATTACTTTTTTATAAATTCCCATATATTATTGTTATAAGTATTACATTATATCCCGTATGACTAAAATAGTCTTGATACGATGTAATGCTCTTCAACTTCATATTTACATACGGAATGGTCAGGTAGCCCAGTGGTTAAAGCGTTCTCTCGTCACGCCGAAGGCCCGGTTCGATTCCCCTCATGGGTACAATTTGTGGAAGCCCATTTCTGGTGTCCCCCACTGTGATATTGTTGGAATATTGCTAAAGTGGCGTAAAACTATACTCACTCATAGTAACAAACAGTATACAATCATCTTCATCCATCTTTTAATGGTCTGATACTGATTTTTGTATTATGCTTAACTAACGTCTGAAGTGAGCTTTAGATTTATATGTCATGTAAGCGTTTGGCATGAGATTACATTTGTCTTATAATGTGATCCGTATTCAGAAAAAGTGTTGAGCAAACACCTGGTGTCATCACCAGTGAACCGCCAGTGAACCATTATGTCTACCGGTATTTTGCCTTTTTCGCATAATGGATTTATTTCGCCGGGCAATCGAGACTTAATTTCTCTGACGTTGAAGTTGTGACACCACAATTCGCTGTGCAGAGTTGTGTCCTTCGGACTCACCAGAAACCTATGATCGTGGGTTAGCATCCCGGTTCATCCTGATTATATTTCAAGGTTTGTCAAACACCATATCCGTGCTCGTGGGGTAAACCGTCTAAGATCTGCATCACTTCATCACTTCGGGCTTTCCTCCTAAATAAAAATGACACGTCGTGATATAACTGAAATACTGTTCAAAGCATTACGCCTTTGTTTAATACAATAAGAACTTGCTTATGAGATTATTTATTTTTGGTACTTATTTATGTTTTATATTTGAAAGCCTTCATTTCTCATTTTAGCAAGATGCGTATTTTGTGTTTCTGTAGACTTCATGTCTTGTTTCCATGGACAAGTGGAACATAAGTATAAACCGTGAAGATAGCCACGTTCCTTCCGCGAACATCTAGTATCATCACTATTTGATAGTGATTTATAAACACATGCTCATGATATAGCGGGAATCGTACAATCGACTCTTGGCAGATATTTCTGATGGGCCCGTGAAGATCCGGGGTAGAATAGTTCTTCAGCAACCCATGCTTGCCGTAACAGGCGACTACGCTTGTCGTAAGAGGCGACTAACGGGATCGGGTGGTCGGGCTCGTTGACTTGGTTGATGCATGTCATCGTATCAAAATTGCGTCAATCGATGCTCATGATGTCAATCACTGGATTGTCGTCATATAGCTGGAATATTTCTCTCAGTGCGGCGTTAAACAACAAACAATACAAGACAATATATATTTCTCATGAATATGGAAAGGGTTTTGTCGCTTTTATTAAGATAACGGATGAGGTTACATATGCATGAAGTCTTTATCATAAAATCTTCGCGTGATAATGATAATGGCCCACTGCCCTAAGGCGAGGTAATTCACTGAATTGCCTCCCTTAGTCGTCCATTATCAATGATCGTGGGTTCGTATCCTATATTATCAGCATCTGGTAAATGCGTTCGGTCTTTGTCACTTTGAGTTTTGCGCTGACATGTATTTGTAATGTTGTTCAAAGGGGCGTTAAACACTTGCAATCACACACTGTATGGAGACTCCAAGTGGATTTGCCAAGGAGAGGTTTTAAAATGTTGTTTTGCTTAAAATAAGATGTATGGTTCAAGTTAATGCGTTTCATTAACACATTACCCATTGTAAGAACACTGTTATTTTTACGGTTCGAATCGTGATTCTAACAGCTAGCTTTTGTTTTTCAGTGTGTAACCAGACTCTGTATAACCTCAGTGGCGCAGTATCAAGTCCGTTCTACCCCCAGCTTTACTTCCCGAACGTCAATTGTGTCATAAGGATCGTATTGCCGTCAAATTACAGGATACGTGTTAAGGTGATTGACCTTGACCTGGAACATGGCATAAACAAAGATTGCGTGTATGATAAGCTTCAGATCTATGATTCCCGCTTGAACAGAACAGGCAAAACCTGGTGCGGATCTACGGAGGGCTATTCCCAAAGCGACCTTCGATATGAATCAAGTGCCTCGGATATAACCATAGAATTTAAGTCTGATCACGTGAATGAATTCAAAGGATTTAATCTGACCTACTTGGGTGTACCATCATGTCATAACGAAACCTTTAATACGAGCAATGGATCCGTGTCAAGTGTGAACTTTCCTTCGTACTACCCCAATGGACAAGAGTGTTATTACACTATCAAAGTCGATGAACCTACTGAGAACATTGAACTGACGTTTGAGATGTTTTATACAGAATCGGACGACGATGCCCGTAAGAGAAATCACCTATGCAACAAAGACTACATCGAAGTGTTTGATGGCAAGGTCAAACACAGGGTTTGTGGTAACTGGCATGGTCAGGAACATCTGCTTATGTTCAGATCATTTGGGAGTACCTTGGTGTTCAAGTTCGTCTCAGACGAGCAGACCACGAAACCAGGTTTCTATGCAAAATGGCGGACGGTGGATAACAAAGGGGGCATCCCATGTGTTTCAACGTGGTTAGACACTGGAAACACTTGTTTCGAGATTATTTACCAGAGGCAGACCTGGTTCGAGAGTGACATCGACTGCCGTTCACGTGGGGGTCATCTTGCAACTATCGCAGATCTAGCAACGGAGGTATTACTCAGTGACCATTTGGAAAACAGGTAAATAGTAGCCGGTGTTGTACGTGTTGTGAGAGTATAAACTTCCATAGCGGAATTAATAGAGGTAACTGTGGTTTAAGAATTATATAAGTGTTTCTTAGCAGGGGTTATATGTAAACGCTCATCCACAATCAGATCTATGGTCAGCAATAGCAATACCCTCTTTTAAAGGGCGTTAGGGAGTGCTCAGATAGAAGCTCATCCACAATCAGATCTATGGTCAGCAATAGCAATACCCTCTTTTAAAGGGCGTTCTTGAGTGCTCAGATAGAAGCTCATCCACAATCAGATCTATGGTCAGCAATAGCAATACCCTCTCTTAAAGGGCGTTCGGGAGTACTTAGATAGACGCTCATCCACAATCAGATCCACGGTCAGCAAACCCCTCTTTTTCAAGGGCGTTCGGGAGTGCTCAGATAGAAGCTCATCCACAATCAGATCTATGGTCAGCAATAGCAATACCCTCTTTTAAAGGGCGTTCGGGAGTGCTTAGATAGATACTCATCCACAATCAGATCCACGGTCAGCAATACCCTCTTTTAAAGGGCGTTCTGGAGTGCTTAGATAGACGCTCATCCACAATCAGATCCACGGTCAGCAATACCCTCTTTTAAAGGGCGTTCTGGAGTGCTTAGATAGACGCTCATCCACAATCAGATCCACTGTCAGCAAAACCCTCTTTTAAAGGGTCTTCGGGAGTGCTTAGATAGACGCTCATCCACAATCAGATCCACGGTCAGCAAAACCCTCTTTTAAAGGGTCTTCGGGAGTGCTTAGATAGACGCTCATCCACAATCAGATCCACGGTCAGCAATACCCTCTTTTAAAGGGCCTTCAGGAGTGCTTAGATAGACGCTCATCCACAATCAGATCCACGGTCAGCAATACCCTCTTTTAAAGGGCGTTCTGGGGTGCTTAGATAGACGCTCATCCACAATCAGATCCACGGTCAGCAAAACCCTCTTTTAAAGGGCCTTCGGGAGTGCTCAGATCTATGGTCAGTGTTCTGGAGTACCCAGAACATATTGTGTAAATGCGCATGAAAAGATGTAGTATTTATTGAAATGCCATATTACCCAGACAGACACGGGTAAAGGTGAAGTCAGGTTCAGTGCTTTTCAATTAGCATTATTATCATCTTCATGTTGATTGGCAATTCGTTTCTCTCGTAGCAAGCTGGGTTCGAAACTCACAAAGTTAATTCATTAGGGACTGAAAAACCATACTTCCAGATTATTCTCTAAATACTGCGACAGTCAACGGTACCTATAGTCAATGTTTTATTTTTACGGTGGTCAAAAGATCGACAGTATCTTGTGCGTATAGGCTTGCGCTAGAAATGCCAGTGTGAGACGCTTTTCAAGAGTTTGCATGTAAATTCCAAGATAAATATATATACATTGTTTATAAAACGACTCTATTACGAAACGTCCATATATGTTGTTGTTTACTGTTCAGAAACCAGATACGGAGAACGTTTTTTTGTGTGTTTTCTCGGAAACACAAGTGAATGTCGTTACTTTCAGAATAAGAAAATATGTTTAACATAATACTGGTGTTATGTATTATGTCTTTTCCCAAGTGTTTCTTTAAGATGTTTGCTGAACACTACTTATCTTGGTAACTTGAAATATAGACCTTTCACAAGCTATCAGACATGTCATGAAATTGATATGTTTGAAAACAGCAGCATTCTCTTTGTATTCGTAAGTAGCACTAAATCCGTTTTACAACGTTTGCACAACATATGGATCCTGTCGGTTTGCGTCGTGACATTTAGCGTGTATTTGATGCTATAGGTCATTAAATCCCTGGGTGTTTCCCAACTATTCCATCAAAGCCTGTTGGGTTTCTAGGAGATGAAATGGCTGATAACACATTCAGGTTGATTGTAGAATTATTATTTGCATTAGCTCTCCTTGAAACTGTTTCCTACAACACAAAGTACCGTCCAACCTTTTGTTGTGGTTTACAATAAGGGACTAAGTTTGTGAGGACGCAGACGCGGGTTTTGTTATATGGAGAGTTATAGAGCTCACTGCTTCAAGACATACATTCTTTCCTCTGAAAGGACGAGACGAACAACATACTTATACTGATATAGTCAGAATCGTACTAAATCTTCAATATATTTTCACATTTCTTTATTATTTTTTGTTTTATTATATCTATATGTTTTATTTTTTGGAATGGGAGGGCGTAAACTAATTACCAGCATCTTTTTACAAATACACATATTCATACTTGTGTCTACATGTATTTATCAAACATACTTTATTTGCAAAGGGTGCCAGTGATAGGACAGGACCTGCTTACCATTTTCATGAACGCCTGGTGTCATTACTGATTTTCTGTGATCAATTTAAATAATTTTCATTGTTTTTTGGCCAATGTGTTTTGTTTCGTTGGAAAATGAAGACTGGATATTGAATTCTCTAGCGTTGACGTTTATTTCGCATGATAATGCACTGTTGGTATTTTGGGCTCGGGTCGTTTGTGCATTTCGTTCATTTCTTTCACATCCGTGGGTGAGAAATTCATTTGAGATAACTGGTATCAAAGATATGTATGAGATCGAATTCCCGGCCCGTGATTGGCGATGACCATGGGGATGACCTGAGGTCAGATCATGTCAGACTACTTTCCTGATCGTAAGTCATTGCTAAGTTACACGTGCTTCAGTCGAATGTTCACCTACGTCTGTGTGAACGTTATGGTTTTAGAGTGTTACCCCCGGATGACACAGCAACACATATATGTACCTCTTCATCAAAGACCACTTCGACGTCGAATCAAATTCAAAATATATTACGCAGACATTACACTTCACATTTTTTAATTCCGTGGGAAATTCCCTTTTTGTTATATCGTCTACTGTTATTTTAGGCAAAACTACTGAAAGTGACCTTTGAAAAGTAGTTACATAGTAAATCTCGACATTTTTTATTCATTACTAAATCATTCATGGCGTGTTACTGTATGTCTAAAAATCTAAATATCGGATATTTACTCGAAGAACTTTATTTCAAAATTAGCATATTAGTGATCACGGGTAGATTTCAATCTGTTTTCATCAAATCACCAGTGAGAAATGTGAAACGTCGCTGATAAGCCTATCATATAGAATGTTTTGAAAAATACGCAATCACGAACGCTGAAGTGTACTCTCCGCCGGGGGCACGGTTGGCCCAGTCGTAACAGGCGCCGCAATTCGCTGTGCAGAGTTGCGTCCCTTGAGCACGCCAGAAACCTATGATTGTGGGTTCGAATCCCGGTTCGCCCAGATTATGTTTCTATGTTTGTCAGCACCATACCCGTGCTCGTGGGTTTCACCGAAGTGGTAAACGTCTAAGACCTGCATCACTTTGGGCTTTCCTCCCACATTAAGCTGACACGCCGTGATGTAACTGGAATACTGTTAAAAGCGGCGTTAAACACAACTCCGTTAACTCACTGTACTTTCCGCCATGTTGGATATAGCGTTTACAAAATTACATTTCACGTCTGACGCATATGGGGCGCCTATTGCATTGCAAATATTTCAAACCCAGCTGCTATACATAATACATCCCTGAATTCCCCGTTCATCTTATAATCAACTGACAAACTGGCTTTGTCACCAATACCAATTAACTAGATGAAATCAAGCGAAATAAATTAGTTGTGAAACGCTGTGTTCGGAAAATTGTTTGAAATGTAAACAAAGCAAGATTCAGATTTTACACTGTGAAGCATTCTCTCCTATTTTGAGAGATCCATTCGTCTAGTTGTTGCATATATTAGCTCACGTGTTTGTAGCTCACGCGTTTAATATTCACGGGAAGAGTATCGTAGCACAAATTAAAACTAATTTCCATCACAATGATCATGTAAATTCAACAAAAATCGTTAAAGGTTTCGTCCTGTGTGACGCCATGGCTGACGCACAATCACGCTCAACGACGACGGTAGTTATCTGTATTTCCCGACTAATTCCCTTGGTTGCATTGGAAAACATAAAATAAATAATTGTACGCAGATTGTCAGACTGTTTCTGATTACATACATGACACATTTATGTACATACGATCCCTCGATCAACGAAAATTCTGTGAAAATCCCGCGTAGTGTACACGCCATTTCGTAAAAGTCGATCACCGGTAGTGACCTCATACGGAAGTAGACAATGTTGTACATGTTTGGTAATTTCTTTGAGGTGAAAATTATTAATAACCCATAACGTGACACATGACCGTTATACAGTAAACTACGGTTATAACGAACTTAAAGGGGCCACTAATTTTAGTTGGTAATAACCGTAGTTCGTTATAGGCATATATACAGCATTTATTCAACAAATGGACGGGACTAAAAAATAAGTTCGTTATATAGGTCAGTTCGTTATAAGCGTGTTCGTTATAAACGTACTTCACTGTATATTAATGCGCCACTGCGATCATGACAATAGACAGAATCGGTTCGATGCTAAAAAGGTGCGATTTTAGGGTGTGTAAAGACAGATTACTGCACCTTTGCCTGGCAGATACCGTACATCTTACAACTTTCTTTCAAAGCGTATCTGACTTGTTTTTGCCCGTCAGATACGTTTTGAAACAACTCGTAAGATATATGGTATTCGTGTAGTAATCTCTATTTATATCGTATTATGTAAAAAATGTGTTGGTTGGTTTAACGCCGCTCTCAGCAATATTCTTCCTATATGACGGCAGTCTGTAAAAAACGAGTCTAGACCAGACAATCCAGTGATTGACATCATGAGCATCGATCCACGTAACTGGGATACGATGACATGCATCAATCAAGTCAGCGAGCCTGACCACCCGATACCGTTAATCGCCTCTTACAAAAAGCATAGTCGTCTTGTACGGCAAGCATGGGTTGCTGGAGACCTATTCTACCCTGGATCTTCAAACGTTTCGATACATTAAGTGCATGCGAAAGAGGTTTTGATTTCTATATGAAATAAAACGTGTCCCTGTGTCATCAATATGGGCTGGAGGTATTCAAAAAGGATAATACCTTCCATGGGGATGCCGTGGCGGAACAAATCCAATGGGCACCTCACTTGTCGTGACAGTTTGCTTGCTTGTTGTTTAACGCCGCACTCAACAATATTCCACCTATATGACGGCGGTCTTTCAATAATCGAAACGATCCAGTGATTGATATCATGAGCATCGATCTACGCAATAGGGATACGATGGCATGCATCAACCAAGTCAGCGAGCCTGGCAACCCGATCCTGTTAGTCACCTCTTACGACAAGCATGGTCACCTTATACGGCAAGCATGGGTTGCTGAAGACCTATTCTCACCCTATCACTGGATTGTCTGGTCCAGACTCGATTATTTACAGACCGCCGTCATATAGATGGAATATTGCTGAGTGCGGCGTTAAACAACAAACAAACAAACATTTTATTGTGATCAATGCCCTTGACAAATTCGCCGCCATAGCTTCTCATTGGAAGTGACGTCACCAGCACCGTCTCTCTAAGCACTAACAACAGCACATAATAGCTCTCACGCAAAAGCTAGGAATCAACATCCAATCAAAATACCTCTTTTGAACAAGGGCTATGCAGAGCTCACCCGAGCGAGCCCTCGATTTATTTAAACATATGAAAATACTGTCATAAAATATTTTGGCTGGAAAAGATGATTTCCAGAGTTTAAGACGAGGGAAATGACGTCATGAATGGTACAAGACGTCCCGGTTGTAAGACTTATAATGACTGTTTCCATAAATCATTAAATATCGTTTAGATCTGATTTGTATGGACTATTCAGTACTTGTAGGCCATGGGCCATTTTGTACCAGATAAAATACAATTCAATCCCGGCCTCAAGAAACACGGCGAATAGTTCCGTTTATCATAATGGAATGGCGATATGACAAACTTGTTTAAACTCGAATCAAAATAATATCTGTCGTCTAAGTTTGCAGTGAGGCTCTGTGTGATAACTACAGCCTTATGCCATACCTTTGCTACACTCATGCGCACATGTTGCTGGGATACAGGATAATCATGATGTAATATTGAGGGGACTCCTTCAGTTGTTGTCATACCACGTATATCGTTTGTGCCAAGTTTCATATGATGGTTTCTCTGGCTTATCTGGAACTATTACCGTAGACTCTGAGACCAATCATCTACGTCAATGGTCTCTCGCTCTTATCGATATTTCGATCCGATTTCCATGGAAAAATTCAAACGTATATTGTATATTTATCAGCATTTTCCGCATTGTATGTAGTTATATATACAGTGTAATTAGACTGCGGTGGATTTCATACTACAATTATTCTGTGAATGGTTATGGAACGATTTACTCAAACGATTTTCCTTAATCTTATCAATTTCAGTTACAACCAGGTATACTATACATGTCATGTGTTATGTGACCATATGTTCTATCAATGTTATATTGTCCTGAATGAAAATTAGAAAACGGAAATATACAGAAATTCTGCAAATTCGAAAACAAATATTACGATTTTTCGAATGATATACTTTGAAACCTGGTTAATCTGAACCATCTTGTTTCAAAGTCTGACTGTATCATGTGTTGTTTAAGGTAAATTATAACAGGTGACGAATGTATGACGTACTGTCTTCCCTCCACTGCTTCAGCAACTGCACAAAGCCAGATGATGCTTTCTGGATAGGGGCCAGCGACCAGGTGTACGAATCGGATTTCTATTGGACAGACGGATCTAAAGTCAAGTTCTCAAGTGAGTGCCTTCGTTATGTAACTGTTGCGCACAGATCCTTCCCCGTCTTAAGCCTAATACTGTAATGACTGGATAGAAATATATAAAACATGTACGTCCGTGCAGAAAGGAGTCTAGCCGCCGCAATTCGCTGTGCAGATTTGCGTCCCACGGGGACCGATCATTTGATATTATAGGGACAGCCTGTAATTTTGTACTTTCAGCTACAGCCACAAAACCATATATTTAATTCTTTAAAACCTTGAGCCTGATTTTTTAAAGGAAAAACACCTTGCAACAATGTTGTTGTTTTTTCTAATGTCTGAAGCATTAATTTTCGGGACAATTTATTGTTTTCGTTAAAATCCCAGCCCACCCCTGCCCCCATAAGAACATGGCCGGTCCCAACGTGGTAAAATCTGAGACTTGCATCGCGGGATTTCCTCCCAAATCAAGCTGACGCCTTCTTAAATGAATACTGCTCAAAGCTGCGTCACGCCTTTGCTTAATGCAATTAGAACTTCCTTGTCTTGTCAGCGGGAACATCTACAAACGTTTCATGTCGATCAGACTGACTTTGCATGGCAGCTGTTGATCTATGTATTCCAATTCTGTTTTCTCTTTTTGAGTTTGCACATCTTCTCATCATGAAACGTGTGATACCACTCAGCAGATGTTAGGACATGGTTTGAACTGGCTATAAATCTGAACTATAAATCTTCATTTTGTCAACAGATTGGTTCCAGGGTTGGCCTCATTTTGGTTATGCAAATCGTCAACCGAGTGATGACGGCTTGTCAAATGAAGACTGTGTGGAACTGAGAACAACCTTCAATTATCCCCACAAGGGACGGGGAAGTAATCGAAAGTTCTGGTGGAATGACCGGAACTGCAACGTGAAGAACCCGTATGTCTGCCAGTGCTACAGAAATGGTGAGAAATGTTTCATTAAACCTTTAAAATGAGTAATAAGTCTATGTTTGTTTCTGAGTTGGGACATTTTAGGCTTATACACAATGCTTAAATCTTGCACAGTATGAATTTTCGTTATTTATTGTTCATTTTATTACAACCCAAACTAAAAAGGTGGGGGTATATAGTTATACCAAGGAATTCCGTCCGTCCGTCCGTCCGTCCGTCCGTCCGTCCTTCCCCGGACATTTTCTTGTTTCACTTGAAAACTACTGCATAGATTCTTTTCACACTTGGTGAACCATTTTTGTACCAATAGGAGAGGTGCAGTGGGAAGTTTGATTTCAATATTTGGATTTCCTGAGAACATACCTCTTTTAAATTTTTGTCCTTTCTACTGAAAAAAGTTGACCTATAACTTGAAAACTGCTACATGGTTTCTTTTCATATCTAGGGAACAATTACCATTCTAAAAGAAGAGGCACAGTGCAAAGTTTAATTTTGAGATATGTATTTTCTGAAAGAAATATGAATTTTTTCATGTGTTGAACTTATAAAATATGTAGGAGTCGAAGTCGGGGTATTAGTGAGCTCTAGTTTTGTTCAATATGTAACATTATGTGAAGCCCATTTCGGTTGTCCTCCGCTGTGATGTTCCTGGATACCATACTCACTCACTCACTCACTCACTCACCCATACACTCACTCACTCACTCACACATACACTCACTCACTCACCCACCCACCCACCCACCCACTCACTCACTCACTCACTCACTCACTCACTCACCCATACACTCACTCACTCACTCACCCATACACTCACTCACTCACCCACCCACCCACCCACCCACTCACTCACTCACTCACTCACTCACTCACTCACTCACCCATACACTCACTCACTCACTCACACATACACTCACTCACTCACTCACCCATACACTCACTCACTCACTCACCCATACACTCACTCACTCACCCACCCACCCACCCACCCACCCACCCACTCACTCACTCACTCACTCACTCACTCACTCACTCACCCACCCACCCACCCACTCACTCACTCACTCTCTCGGATGGACCACTACGCATCACCATAACGATTTCTGTCGTTTCACGAATAATTCACGTGTTTATATATTCTTCTTTCTTAAACATCCACATTGACAAGTGAGAAATATAGTATCCATATCATAGATAGTCAGACCAACAAAATATGATCGTGCTGTCATGTTGACAAAATATCAATAAACCCGCACACACTTTCAGGGCAGTTCAACACCTGTCTCCCAATCTAACTTCCCATTATGTGGAATAATCTGTTCTTTGTACCAGAATACTCATTTCGGAACGACTAGGCAGTATGGCGTTGGTTATTACCTAAAGCGTGACTTGTGATCACTGAATAATAGATAATTATGTCTTCGTCATTTGCAAATGTAGGCATGCAGCCGTCACTACTGTCACCATTGATCCCGATATGACATCTAATTAGTGTAATTACCCATGGGAGATGGGCAGCGCGTAGACTACGATACATAATAGCATGTGCCCTGAATAGATACGGACTTGGTACTGATGAGAGACATCGGAGAAGATATTGCAATCCTTTGTGTCATGTTACATTTGTCGCAGAGTTTTGATCAAAAATGTTTGTCCTCTGATTTTTAACAAAACAAAAATAGTTCAGTAGACATGCTGGATGTCCGTCTCTAACAAAACTTACACAGTCAGTCGGACAGTTATTCATAGACACGTGAAGTACCGGGTTAATCATCTTCAGCAACCCATGCATGTCGTAAGAGGCGACTAAGGGGATCGGGTGGTCAGGCTCGCTGACTTCGTTCATGAATGTCGTATTCCACTTGCGTAGATCGATACTCATGATGTCAAGCACCGGGTTGTCTGGTCCAGATTTGATTATTTACAGACCTCCGTCATATAGCTGAAATGTGGCTCAGTGAGGCGTTAACAAACAAACAAAACGAACTAATTCCTAAAAAACAACACAACGCTATATATTGTACTATAAAAATAACTCAGAAACCTATGGTAAAAATGTAGGTCCCCAGGCATAGGAGGCAACTAAATAGATCGGGGGGTCAGGCTCGGTGACTTGCTTCATTGTATGTCATCGTATACAAGTTGCGTGGATCGATGCTTGTGGATTGCTTTGTACGTACGCGGTTATTTAGAGACTACATCATACACGTACAGCGCGGTGAAAAACAACATGCAAAAGCAAGAACGCACACGTAGAGAAAGGAATAAATCCTAATATATATGAGTTTCCTGCGTTCTTGGAGAGAGGAAGTTCCTGACTCTTCCAGTCGTTGATGTAGCCAAATTTAACTAGTGTTTTACCAAGCTTATACGGTAAGGATGCCTTGATAAAAATGACAACCAACAAGTCTTACCAAGTGGCGAATAGAGAGGAGGCGAGGTGCTGCTTTTACCAATGCATATAGCCCCAGAACTCGACCTGAAAGCTGCATGTAACTTGATCCTCCTACTACGTGTCATGCTGCGTGGGGGGGGGGGGGGGGGGGGGGGGGGGGGGGTCGGGTAGCCTAGTGGTTAAAGCGTTCGCTCGTCACGCCGAAGACCCGGGTTCGATTCCCGACATGGGTACAATGTGTGAAGCCCATTTCTGGTGTCCCCCGCCGTGATATTGCTGGAATATTGATAAAAGCGGCGTAAAACCATACTCACTCACTCACTCACTCACTCACTCGCTCATGCTGCGTGGAAGGGAGAGAACGCCTGATTTGCCTCTTGTTCAGCTGTATGCTTTCATGTCTCACAATATAATATTTACAGAACACACAATGATTGTCGTCTTTATTCTATTCTTCCTCGGGGGCACGGGTGGCCCAGTCGTCTAAGGCGCCGCGATTCGCTGTGCAGAGTTGCGTCCCTTGGGCACGCCAGAAATCTATGATTGTGGGTTCGAATCCCGGTTCGCCCAGATTATGTTTCTAGGTTTGTCAGCACCATACCCGTGCTCGTGGGTTTCACCGAAGTGGTAAACGTCTTAGACCTGCATCACTTCGGGCTTTCCTCCCACATTAAGCTGACACGCCGTGATATAACTGGAATACTGTTAAAAGCGGCGTTAAACCCAACTCACTCACTCACTCTATTCTTCCACACACGCTGTCATCCGGGTTAGAATTGGTCTTCAGCAACCGATACTTGTAAGAGGCGACTATGCTTGACGATGAAGGTGACTAACGGGATCGGGTGGACCGCCGTCATATAGCTGGAATATTACTGATGCGGCGTTAAACAACAAAGCAAAACTAATCTATTTTTTCAGCTATCGATGTCATATAAGCCCGAGAAGCATGCCTCATTAAGCTTGGACGAAACATATCGAGCATTTTACGCGTCTGTCCCTTTATCAAGATCAAATGACAATTGACTAGCGTGTGGCACGCGACTGAAGACATAATGTTGTCAGATATTAAACAGGTCAGCTGTTCATGCGAAGAGGATAAAATGGCATCGTTCATTTAAGTGTCAATCTAATCTTTAGGTCTCGGGTTTTTTTTAAATTTTAGATATGAGTTTCAATCTAATTTATGGCTATTTTTTCATTCTGTGAATAGCTGCAATATTGCTAATGCTAATTAATCTCACAGTGAAGCCCGTCAAGATCCCGGTTAGAACAGGTCTTCAGCAACCTATGCGTGTCGTGAAAGGCTTCTATGCTTGTCGTAAGAGGCGGCTAACGGGATCATGTGGTCAGGTTCGCTGACTGGTTGATGCATGTCATCGTATACCAGTTGCGTGGATGGATGCTCATGATGTCAGTCACTGGATTGTCTGGTCCAGACTCGATTATTTAAGTGCGGAAAGTGAAACGTACGCTATTAATAACCCACATAAATCGCAGATGCTTGAACTGCACTTTGCCTGTATTTCGAACTGCCGTCATAAACCAAACCTCATTCTGATAACTGAAGCCACTTTCACATCCATAAAAAGTGAATTTAAGTGAGAGAGAACATTTTACATGTCACCTCACTGCAATGATGAGGCAAAGTGTTGTCGCCCCCGTGAGGTGCACCATTTGTCTCGCGCAGGATTAGCGTGTAACGTTTGGAAATCACGTGCAGAATATCGTGATAAGAATAAAGACACTGCGGCAACACTTGACTGATTGTTAGTTTTGTCATAAAGTGGTACACATTGGAAACATCCCTTCTTAACATGCATACTTCTCTATATGTTTCTATGGTTCGTGTTTCTTTTGACGGTGAGTATACACAGAATATCCTGCTAAAACCTGTCTGCCCCGAAGCTGCGTGGTGTTTGTTTACACAGCAACGCCGATGTGTTAGTTCATATTTCCAATTGAAAACAATGTCGAGAATGTGTGGACAGGTGATAGCACTTAGTGTGCAAATGATAGATCGACTGAAAGATGATAATGAGCGATGTGACACTGTATGGGCTGTATAGTCACGTGATCTCCTGTGTCTTTCTTGTCTCGTCACAAAGTGACTAGACAACTCTGTCCATTACATGAGCGTGTGTGTGTGTGTGTGTGTGTGTGTGTGTGTGCGTGCGTGCGTGCGTGTGTGTGTGTGTATTCATGTGCAGTACATGTCTGAGTCTAATTATAAAATGCCAACTTGAGGCACGCATTTGAGACCAGGCACTCACGCCAAATCAACACACTCGAGATATAGTCGGCACGATTGGATAATTTATCAAGGTCCGACCATCCAATATGTTTCGGCGGGTGGGATTTTTGTTACAGACTACAAACTTTCGTCAGAACACCCAGCATGTCTTGGAAACGATTTGGTATTTTTGTGTGTGTGGGTTTTTTTTAAAAACAATACAGCCTCATCTTCTATACCTCCAGGCTCACATTTCTGTAAACCTTCACTGTCCACTGGATCCATCCCCGTGATTCTCTCGATTTCAAATTATACGTCCCTGATTTCCATTAACATTTTACTGACCAATCAAACGTCGACATAAGGAAATGAGTAAGGAGGGCC